ATTAAATATTGATATACGTAAATATAGCTCTCCAGGTGACGTGTTCGTTACAGGTGACCTAAATTCAAGGACAGGTCAACATGATGATTTTGTCAGGTGTATTAATCTTGACCGTTATGTAGATTTACCGTGCAGAAGTTATTCTTGTCTAGACATACCTGAACGTAAATCTTGTGATAATCGTGTTAATCGTTTCGGTAAAAAGTTGTTATCTTTATGTAAGGAAAATGATGTTATTATTGTAAACGGCCGACTTGAGAATGGAGATTTCACTTGTTACAATACTATTAGAAATCAAAATGCTGCAAGTGTTGTTGATTATATTATAACAAATATTAGTAATTTTCCACTAATTACTCAGATGGAAATCAATAGTCTTACTGAATTCTCAGATCATTGTCCTATAACGTTTTCACTAAATGTTGAAAATGATTTTTTCTATAAAAACGATAACTTATCATATGATAAAATTATATGGGATAATACAGACAAAGAAGAGTTATCAATGTTGTTGGATAACCATAAATATGTATTTGATGATTTAATAAGTAAATTAAGCTCTGATGATATTGATATTGAAACCTGTGTTAATCAATTTTCACAAGCTGTGTATGACATTTCATATAAGATACATGGTAGAACTATTACAGCTAACAAACCTAAACGAATAATAAAAAAAGCTCCTTGGTTTAATGAAGATTGCAGGCGGGCAAAATCATCTTTTCTTGACAAGAAAAGAGCATTTGGTTTAAATAAAGATGATAACAATAAAACTAACTTTCTTAACAGTAGGAAAGAATATTCAAAAGTGAAAAGGAATGCTAAGCGATCTTTTAATCTAAAAGAAAGGTCTAAACTCTGTAATATGAGTAAAAGCAGTCCACGTAAGTTTTGGAAACATATAAAAAAGTTCAATAAATATAATAAAGTAAATTCTAATGATGTGAGTCCTATGGACTTTTTAGAACATTTTAAAAATATTTCAAATACAGCTCATTGTGAGTTTATGCCTGAAAATATAAATTCTGATCAAAGTAACGAAATAAATATTGAATTGTTAGACAGCCCTTTTACAGCTGAAGAAATATCAAAAACTATTTCTACACTGAATAGGTATAAAAGTTGTGATATAAATAATAATGTTGCGGATTTTTTCATTGACTCTAACAACTTTATTGTGCCATATCTTGTTATTATATTTAATAAAATATTTGACTCCGGCTTATACCCGGAGTCGTGGTGTAAGGGTATTATAATACCAATACATAAAAAGGGGGATACTAGTAATCCGTCAAATTATAGGGGAATAACACTTGTAAACGTAATTGGTAAAATCTTTTCATTGCTGTTAAGAAACAGGTTGAATAAATGGTGTGAACAATGTGATGTATTTAATGGATCACAATTTGGTTTTAGAGATAAGCATTCGACAACTGATTGTATATTCATTTTACATTCGATTATTCAAAAGGTTTTATCTAATAAGTCTAAATTATATTGTGCTTTTATCGATTATGAAAAAGCTTTTGATACTGTGATTAGGGATGCATTATGGGTTAAACTTTTAAAAACGGGTATAAGTTGTAAAATGATTAATATTATTAGGTCAATATATACGAATGTTAAATCATGTGTTAGATTGTCCCGAAACATGAAACTATCAGACTTCTTTGACGTCACTGTGGGCTTAAAGCAAGGGGAACCACTCTCCCCATTACTTTTTATTTTGTTCATAAATGATATAAATGAAAGTCTTGATTTTAACCTGTTAACTGAAAAAGACTTAGATATGTTGAGTATGTATATGTTACTTTTTGCTGATGATATAGCTCTTTTTACCACTAGTCCTGATAGTCTTCAAGCACAACTAAACATGGTTCAAAATTATTCTACAAAATGGGGTCTTAAGATTAATGTTAAAAAGACAAAAATTTGTATTTTTGAGAAAAGAAAACAACCGTGTAATTATGTTTGGACAATAAATGATGAAATTGTAGAAGTTGTTGATAATTTTACTTATCTTGGTGTAAATTTTACTTATACAGGTAATTTGAAAAATTCTGTTAAAAATTTATCAGATCAAGCTCTCAAGGCTTATAATTCACTATTACAATTGTTTTATAGAGTGAACTTAGATATTAAAACTAAACTAGCTCTTTTTGATTCTATGGTTGTACCAATAATTTTGTATTGCTCTGATGTATGGGGAATTTATGATTTTAAGGAGGTAGATAAACTTCATATCAAATTTTGTAAAATTGTTTTAGGTGTGAAACAACAAACTCCAAATTCTGCGGTTTTTGGCGAGCTAGGAAGGTACCCTCTCTCCGTTATTAGTAAAGAGAGATCATTACAATACTGGCTAAAAATAATGAATAATCAAAATTCACCAATGTATAAATTATATATTGAACATTGTAACACAAATAACAATAATTCATGGGCATCTAAGATTAAAACATTAGTAGATGATTTAGGATGTAGTTATATTTATTTAACTTCCTGGGTCAATTACAACTTTGCACCTATTTTAAAGCAGAGGTTACGAGATCAATATGTACAAAAATGGCATGAATGTATAGAAGACATGTCCAAATTGGAATATTATAGAATGTATAAACAATGTTTTGGTTTTGAAAAATATTTGGAATGTATTAATATAGATAAATTTAGAAAATGCATGACATGCTTTAGATTAAGTTCTCATAGTTTAGAAATTGAGGTTGGTAGATATCAAGGTATGCATAGAAATGAACGAATCTGTAAAGCTTGTAATACAAATTTAGTTGAATCGGAATATCACTTTTTGTTAACGTGCCCTATATATTCTGAAATAAGAACAAAATATTTAGGTAATTGTTCATGGCCTAGTAGGCAAAAATTTTCAAACATTATGTCCTGTAAGAGTAAGAATAAGTTATATAAAACTGCCAAATATTTGTATGAAGCATTTCAAATAAGGAAAAGATTTGTCGATGTAGAAGCTGCTTCTTAATCAGCATTATATAATTACACTTCACTATACTGTATATTTGTGACAATTTGTGTAGGTTATATGTATATTTATTATGTTCTAGCACTGTATTATGTACTGTTTTATATGTTTATGTTGTCTTGGCCATATTCTTCACTTTGCAAATGTTAAATTGGCCAAAGGCATGTTATTATGCCGATTTGCTGAATAAACTGAAAACTGAAACTTAAATTTCCGCCGAAGCAGATAATGCTTATCTCTTACTTTACATTCTTAAGACAGTATCAATGATCCGCCTGTACTACAAAGGCTCATTCTCCCACCTTTCGTTAGTTCGCAATTTATGTTTTCAAGCTCACGTAGGATCTCGTTGACTTTATGTGTGACTTGTCTAAAGAAGGCGATTTCAATAACTCATCAACGGAGGTAATTAGTACAGACTGATACATTGTTTTGTTTGATTATTTGGGAAATATGGAAATAATTGGAAAGATAGAAGAAAACATCTCCTGATTCAATATTGTGTATCTATGAATAACTTTTACTTGAATAATAAAAAAAAAAACATGTAAAGTGTTCAAGCAGTTAAATACAGTATGAAGTTTGATAGCAAGCAGATATGTCAATAATTACTCTAAGAAAGCACTATTATACATATGCATGTAAATCGTACTTATTACAGAAGTATTAAAAGCAGCCTGCAGAGGTCCAACTTTTTTTAATCTATGGTGGACTATGATGGATGTGCTCCTGTCCTTCCCTATTCAATTATCTTAGAAACGCTTAATTAGAATTTCCATAAGACATTTGGAAAGTATATAATTTACGATAATTAATAGACAGATGCGTTACTTTATGGTATTGTTAATTCATTTAGCTGAAAAACTTTTCAGGTTATAATATTCAATTTTCTTTGAATAGTGATTCAATATTTCTGCATCACTTTTATGATATGGTGTCCCTTTTGTCATTTGACAGCAGTTTTTTTATATTAATAGGAAATACTCAATACCTCTGATGTTGTCTAATTTAGCTTATCAAAATATTGATGTTTAACTTCTCTTTCTATTTATTTCTTTTGGGGGTGGGAATGAATGGTATACAGCACATATTATGGAATTTAAAATTCAAATTACATGATCATCAATACATAAACATATATGCAGATGTTTAAAAACACATGTTATGTACCGACGATTGATGATTATACTCAAATATTCAATTATGTTTTAAGTTTTAACCGGCACCAACGAACTCATGTATTATCGAACTGCCACTGGTCATGTGCCAATTTTTTATGTTTTTTTTTCTTTTGCACTAATTCATCAAATCAAAGATTTACAACAAGAAAGAAAACAGATGTCATTACCTGCTTTTCGAGTATTTATTTATTGATTGTTCATTTTTTGATACAACGATATGTGACATACAATATATATCAATTAAATATAATGTGTATTAACCTTTGAATAACAAATATAACAGTTAAATGAAAGTTAAAAAATCTAATCCCTCGGAAGCATTAATCACAACTAAATTACAAGAGAATTGCAGACTCAGTTTGAGTCTGTACATGAGGGATAATGAAAACGTACAACATCCCTCATGCCCCCTAGCACCGGCTTGAGCGGTACTCAATTCTCAACACTTAATAGTGCTGACATCAATGATCCCGAAGGAACAAAAAAATATAACAACACTGAACTGAAGTGAAGTACGGGGCAACTTTTTTGCAGCTGCCACACAGCACTTGACATCTGCTGTTGTGAAGTATAAAAATCTGGAAACAGAGTGAGTTAAGTTTGTTTTTATCTTATTTTATCAACATCTCCTCTATACAACTTTGTTGTCAAGTTAAGTCAAAATGTGTAAAGCATCCCATAGAGAAGATAAGATATTTATGAGTTCAAAAATGTGTTTATTAACCTACATTGCTGCTTCTATTGTACAATCTTATATTGGAAGTGGTAAAGATTAAAAGAGTGTCATGTAATTAAATCAATTAACAATTAAGATTCATTATAAAAGTCATTGTCATTTTCATATTTTACAAGCCCAAAATGTCAACTTGAACTACAAGACACCTTTACAGTTATGTATGTGTTCTTTCGGGTTGCTTGTGCTGAAATAAGCTGTGAAAGTTAAATCATTGCTCGGAATCGGAACTATCATTTATTGGGTCAGAAATATTTTCCACATCAACAGAATCATGATCTATTGAGAGTCGTCTATAATGACTTCTTCTTATTCTTGGTTCTCCCTGTACAAGTGTTACAGATAAGCCTTCGTTTTCAATTAAGAAATTTGCTGGTAATTCACCATAAGGTCTCATTTCTACTTTTATAACATCGTTGATTTCTTCATAATTTGTGCTATTAGAACTTGCAACGGCACCCTCTAGTTCCTTGCTATTGACTTCGCTTTCCTTGTTCGGTCTACTAGAACTATCCACGATATTTTTTTGGAAAGAACTTTTTTGCTCTTCAGTATTAACAAAATCAAAAATTTTCTGAAACCATTTCTTGACCAGCCAGAGTTTACGGTTATCTAAAGCATAAAGTTTACCTCTTCTTTGGACGACTTTCAGCACTGGTATTTTAAAAGGTTTTGTCGAACTGAATCTTTCGAATTCCTCTTCAATTGTGGAACGTTGATCAAGTCCGCCCGATCTAGTTAATCGAAAAAGTTTGTCAGTGCTGTAACAAATCTTTGACAACGATATGTATTTTATATTCGGGAATGTTTTAGTCGCTCCTTGATGACGTAATTTGATATCCTCACCCTCTGTTGTTGTAGTCATTCCTCTAGTTTCCAAACAGTCTGATGTTCCGAATATTACAGGTACTTTTAATAAAACGTTTTCTTTTTCTTTCAAGTAGTTTGCATATTGTTGAAACACCCACAGTCGCCTGTTATCAAGAGAAAAATAAACTTCATCTCTTTTGACAACTGTTATTTTTGGTATCTTGTCCACATCATAGCGTTTATGGTGAAGATTGTCCAGTGTGTCCCTTAAACGTGTACCGTCATCGAATGTATCATGAATTTCATCTTGTGTGTATCGTATAAACCTCACTTCTAATTCTTTTCTGTGTCTAGACATACTTTACTCTTGATCTGTAGAATAAAAGTGTGCTTCATTTTAAGCCTATATCAAAAATGTAAAATTAATCTTGCATAATTTTTCATATAAAATGTATGACATAACAGTGATATCATAAATACATGTAATACGAGGGATGATAAAAAATTAACCGGACTTTGTAGATGATTATTTACCTGTTGAATGCATTTACACAAAAATACACGGAACAAAAACCGGAATCTATGCCCAAAATGATACAAAAATACTAACAAGAAATATTCTCAAATAAAAAAGTTATGCTGTTATTGGCATGTACATGTATAGCAATGCGGCGCACGGTATAACTTTAAAATTGACGTTAACGACGTCAGAAGTGTATTGTCTTTAACGGAGCATCTTTTTACTTATTAATGAAGTAGGCCAATATGTCTTCCACATGTTGTTGACGGTGGCGGATTCATTGCCTATATATATTTATGTTCAAGTCGGTATCATATTTGTATTGTAATAGAATGGATGATGATAAGGAGCTTCTGAAATGACGCAAATTACCGTTATTTCCTTCGGTAAACTTCATTGCTGGACAAATCGCACATGCAATAAACTACACTGGTCTTACATTAATGTAATGTTGCTCAATGATAATGTATAATTAATGCGAGAAAATAAAAGAATAATACAACTTACAACAAAATTGCCATTATTTTAAAATAAATAAAATGCATAGCCGATTTTGAACTGTGTCTGTGAAACTGTTGACACAATTTCCCCGTAAGATTATTATGTAAAATAATAAATTAATTTATACAATTGTGAACCAAAGAATATAATATATGTCATTAATGCATTGCCAATTATAATTTTAAAATTCTTTGCAATAGTTGACTGCACCGTCTTGTAGCTACTGTCGTAGATCGTTGACAGGCGGCTGCCATGTTTCAACGTCTCGGCGATTGACGTCACCAACGTCCTTGGAAATATCTTCTTTTTGCTTCTCCCTTACTTGTTTTCCATTTCAATATTAAACTTTCTTAATCGTTTGTGCTAATGAAAAACTATGTTGTGGCTTCCAGGGACATTTACCTTTATAGTCACTAAATTTTCATACGTTTGAAACTGTTTCTCGCATTAGTTTTGACAAACTTTTCTTATTGGTCGATTTTCTAGACGTTCCGACGACATAATTTTAACAAGAGTATTTCTTTAACAAGTGACGTTTAAATTGTGATTGCAAATATAGATATGGCTCAAATGAAGTCATTTTTTCTGCCAACGTCAAAGGTATATTTCATGACGTTTTGGCGTATTTTAAAATCTAAATGTGTCATATTGTAAAATATACGCATCATAAAGCGCCTGGTGTCAGCGCAAATTAACGCACTGCGCCGGGTGTGCGTTACCATGGTTTTTAAATTTGCTGTTATGGACAAGCTATTTGCGTTATCAGATTAGGTATAGCACCAGTTTACAGGTATTATTTTCCGAATAAGTTTGATATACAACAATAAGTGTTAGGTTGAAAATTCTTAAATTGACAGTCCCAGTCCGGTTTATTTTTGATCATCCCTCGTAGAAATAATAGATTGATCATTAATCATAGAAATAACATGCACATCATAAATTATAGAAAGAATAGGTACATGTTTATCATATATCATAAACAATGTATATCATAAATTGAAGACAAAATATGAATATCATCAAATCAGAGAATGAATTCAAAAATCATAAAAAATAGATTTATCATAAATTTAAGACAGAATGAATATGAATATCATAAGTTATGATATTCGATTGTCTGTCTACGATCAAAGAAAGAATATTAATATCATAAATCATAGAAAGAATAGGTTTGTCAAAAATCGAAAAAGCAATAGGTTTGTCATAAAGATAATAAGTATGTCATAAATCATTGACAGAATATGAACTTCATCAATCGAAGAAAGAATAGGTTTATCATAAATCATAGATGGAACAGGTATAATTATCAAAAATCCTTGACAGAAAATGATCATCCAAAACCATAAGATAATATCATAAATCATAGAAAGAATATGTATATCATGAATCATAAACAGATTATGAATTTCATTAATCATAGGAAGAATATGAATATCATAAATAATACAACGGAAAGGTATATCATAAAATATGATGAACACAATCAACAAGTAAGGGCGACGTTCAATAAACGCAACCCTAACAGGACCCAGCAACACAGGACCAGCACGGACGAGACAATCATTTTAATAATAAATAGTAGGAAATAATAGTAACCGATAAGGTAATTAAAGATTTATTAATAGGCCCACAAAGTAAATGGGGAAGGCAACTCGAGATTCGTGGAAGGGAAGGGCAAAATTAAAAAATAAAACAATGGGCAAAAAGGAAGATACATCATAGACAGAATATGTATATAATGGCTAATAGACAATTCAGGAGAGTAGCTTCCTAAAGATTATGAAGGCCAAACCTACACTTTCTTAAGCAAAGTAGAAAATGAGTGTTTTTTTTCCATAACTGCAATTCTTATTATCCATTGAACGCATCAATTTGTGTTTAATGTCTGAACAACAATATCAAAACACATCTCCGTGAAGCAAGATTAGAGGAGTATGCCTTATTCACCAAACCCGAACCCTTCCTGGTAGCATAGCAATTGTCATAATGTACTTACTATATAAAGATGACTAAAATGTTTTAAATGTTTAATATACAAGCCTGTCGAAACTGAAATTTGTGTTTATATCACATATATATTACATCTTAAAATCACCTAGAACATTGTATAAGTCCACTAATACCTACCTTTCTATAAATGACTTTCCAGTATCCAAATCGAAACTAAGCCTAACAACTTTGTCATGTTTTCAGAAAAACTATTTTTGGATAATGTGAGTGCACGGTTATTTCCGAAATATTTATACATGTCTACATGAAATATCAAGCAAGCACGATCTGCAAATTTTGGCATGCTTTTTTCAACTTGCAATTGAATCTTACATTTGTCTATTAATAGATAAATTTTAAGATGGAAAACCAGTTACAAACTTTGAAAAATATTAACTGCAAATGAAATTGGCATGTTTAGAAAAAATGTATGATAAAAACAAAAATATCATAATTTTCGTCAAAGGCATTTATAAATATTCATTTGATTTGAACCATAAGCGAAAAATTCAATCTATGAATTATTAAACATTGATGTTTGTAAGAATTAATTTCCGCATCGGTTTTTCAAAAACCCAAGTCTATAAATAGCTCTAAGGCAGACGAAACCTGATTGTTTTTGCTTTAGATATTTTAGGCAAATATATAGTAAGGAGATTATGACAAATTATTGTGCTAATGATGTGAAATGTTTTTGAGATATGTTAAAAAATCTTTAGATAAATTATTTAAATATCTATCGAAACACATCATATTCGCCTTTGATAATTTGTTTACATATTACACTATAAAGACTAGATAATAAATTAAACATTGAATAGAATGTAGTACTCAATAACTTAGAAATAACTTTTCCATTTTTACAATATTGGATAATAAATAGAACAGAACAGAAACCTTATTTCGTAACTTATACAACACAGTATCTTGCTACACTACACATATAAGATATGATAAATAACTAAGCACATGATATAATTCAAAGTATGTACTAAAATAAATATATATTTCTGAAGAAAAAAAGAGAATACATATAAATTAAATGTATATCAAAATAATCATATTTTATTATTACATATAACAGCATAAGCATGAACTGAACACCTTTAATATGAAAAACGTTTATGACATTAAATGTTAAAAAACGTATTCACGACGTTTATAAATACTATTTGCAAAATAGATAAATTTACATAAATTTTAAAGTACAGACTTTCCGCATGACTGAAGTAATTCTATGAACTTATACATACTAGGTCTTATAAAGATATATATTTTAGTGAATTTAGTACGGATTTCCTGGTACAGACTACAAACAAGTATAGAATGAAATTTGTCTCCAATATTTTGTGTATTACAAAGCTGACAAGCTCATGTCGTTCAAGTCTGTTTCTACCCTACATTCTAGAATCTTTTCTTAAAATTATGCGCAAATATTCTCAGAAGAATTATGAATAAATTGATAATAATAAGAAACAAATTGATTGATATGCAAATACAAAGTATTCAAAACGTTGTTATTAACAGTGTCTGAAAACAACATGTTTATAAGAATTAATTACTTTTTTTTTGAAAAATGAAACAAATTCTATGAATTTCATACCTCAAGCAAACCTAATTCATCTAAACTTTCTTAAACTTTAAGCGCATTTTTTTTACCCTTTTTACACTGCTTTAAATTAATTGTATTCACACATTTCACAATATTATTAGAATTTAGCACATTAAACCAATATTTCAATATACGAGGGGTGTTCAAATGTGAATGCAACAAGGCTAATATCTCGCTTTTAACCACGTTTTGCACAAACTATGTACATGCATCGCATAGTTCGCTGTGTTAGCTCTCAATTGATATAATACATGTGTAAATCAGTTCAGTCTAGCTTTGACACTAGCTCGATTAACGCTATCTACTCGTGTATACTAAAGCTAAAATGGTTGGGAAAAGATATTCTTTCACTGACCAAATATTGTCATATATCGAGAATCGCTGTATTCTTGGTATACAGGCGTCGTGTTTATGGATCTATTTCATCTGTCACAAGGTTGTGTAAGAAATGTAAAAGAGGTGTGGATTCAGTAAAAGATGCACCTCAGGCACGCCGTACGAAAACTGCAATAGAGGATTTGATTGCTACTGATGAAAGATTTATAATTAGGTATCTCTGTAGGAGCCGCTGATGCAATTCTCCGACATTATTTAAAAATGAGAATGATAAGTGCCAGATGGATAGCCCAGCTCCTTACAAAAGAGCAAACACTTGCTCATGTAAGAATCTCATAACAATTGTTGAAACACTTCCCTTAATACAACAATCCATCTTTCAAAAATATTTTCACTGTGGGACTGCCAAAGCGAAAGATACATAACAAAATATGGGCAACCAAAGGAAGTCAAAGACCTTGCATAGCAAAACGCACCATGAGAGTCGAAAAAGCAATGTATGTAATTTTTTTACCAATCAAGGTCCTGCTATTCAAATTGCCGTGCCAAAGGATAAATCTGCAAATGCCAAGTTTTACAAAGTCAAGGTCCTTTATCAATTAAAGTAACAATTCAAAAACCGTCGACCAGCAACTGGTCTCCGTGGTGTCAAGGTGTTACATGACAATGCTTTGTCACACTAAGCGGCCATTGTACGAGAATATCTGAAACAGGAAAACGTTGTCGAGCTTCCTCAACCTCCTTGTTTGCTAGATCTTGCCCTCGTGACTTTTTTCCTTTTTCCGAGGCTCAAAGAACACTTTGCTGGAAAAAATATCAAACGCGAAAAAATCTCGGTTCGGTTATTTTCCAGTGTCTTAAGGATTTAGAAATATGATTTTGGCACTGTTTGTTAAGCACTTCTGAAAATTGACCCAGTTGCATTCATATTTGAAGACCAAATAATTTGAAAGGAAACAAAAATATAAACTTTATAGTTATTTATATTACATATAAAGACATTAATTGCGTTCAAAGATTTACCTATAAGATATTGGTTGTGGAGAATAAAGAACCAAGTATAATTAAAAACTACACCGTCAACTATTTAAAAACCTTCATTCAAGGCCCATTACGCCTCAGAAATGCTAACATTTTTATTTCTCAAAACCTTTTTATTTTTGGTATCTTGTTAAGGTTCCAAAATTATTTTAATCTGCAATATACATGATCTCTCCATTGCTCTTTTAGCTCTATTGGCAATGGATATACTTAAAATGATTAAATATTTTGTATGGAAATCAAAACACTTCTTGTTTGCATTTTACTACCTATGCGACACATTTCTGCACATTCAGCGCCACTTTCTTGAGTCGTTAAAAATCTAAAATGGTTTTAAAATCATTTATTAAAACATAATTAAACACAATTTTGAAATTTCTAAACAATTAAAAAGATATGGAGTTTTGTGAAAATAATTCATGGATTCTGAAAAAGTGCAAACATGGGGGCGAATTATGAAGACCTACCATCTGAATATGTGTAGCAATGCTTAACACACGACTTAGAAATTGATTTTTTAAGTTCCTAGTAACTTTCCATTTTATGCCTCTTATAAGCCGATAAAAGCACTAATCGCATTGTTTAGTTAATTAGTTAACGCGTGCATGGTTTATTAAAAATTATGTTACACAAACATTGCATCTATTGTGGAAATCTTTTTGAGCTTCCGACAGAGGGTTTTTCTTTTCGAACCATTTTTGCACTTTTTTTGTCAAAATACTTATAAATAATTCCCCAAAGATACTTAGGGGTTAAATAACCACTTTCTGGAAAATAATCTGCAGCAAAAACTTTGTTAAAAAGATGGCCTACTAATATATCAATATAGAAACTTTAAAATATTCATTCAACAAGTCATCACTTGAAAATAACGCTTTATTTCGGTTTGATCGCTTCACTGCATCTATAAATTACAGTGTTTACCTGAATCTCATACACATAGTTTTTACAAAAATCAAGAATATTTTTCACCTCTCGTGTTTACAACAGAATCGGAAGAGGCCCTGCATATTGGTGAAAGTAATCATCAGAATGGATATAATTTACATTAGTAATACCGCATACTATAAAATCTGATTTATTGCCTACCCTGATTTATTGCCTACCCCTCAAATCAAGTTTCAAGTTTTATTTACATATTCTCTGTTTGCATACATATAAATACAAGAGATAATACATGTCAATTACAAAACATACATTTAGCCACGTGCACAGCAGAGAGCAACACAAAGTTCTAGTACAGTTCATATAATAATCAATACACATTAACGAAAAACAATTCAAACACAAACACATAAATCAAATCTAGCCACCTGCCAATGACATCTTACCTTGTTGTTCAAAACAGATAAAAAAAATCCCATAAATTGATATAAGTCTATATCTTGAATAACTTGCTGTCCAGTTTCATTGGTATCATCGTGTCACAATTAAATGACAAAAAAATCTGAAACTTACATAATTGATCTCATGAATTACATATGTTTTAGGGAAAAAATCGGGAAACAAACTGATCCCTTGGAAGCATAAATAACAACAAAATTACATGAAAATTGCAGACTGGGTTTGATTGAGTCTGTACTTGAGGGAAAATAAATAAGTAAGCTAATTCTTTGATACTTTTGTATAAATAATGATAAAATACATTGTATGTATATGCAAAATTTGAAACACTCGTTAGCGAAGTAAATACATCAATACAAATTATATAAAAAAGAAAACAGAGAAAAATTTAGACCGTACCTTTACGTTATTTATATCTTGTAGGTTCTGGTAATTTGTGTCTGTTCATCGATGACTGTGGTAATTGCAAGTCATTGTCCGCGTTTAAAAACAAATCATCTACAACCTTATCAAAACGCAATTAATCAAATATCATTATTACCACAGTTCCTTTAGATACACGTGTTTACAAACTGCAGACTCGAAAGAACGATCGAACAACTCAATATGATGTTTAACAAGCTGACTTCTAAATCCTAAAATAAAAAGTTGTTTTCTATAAATATGCTGCATTTTTGTAAACATAACAAACGTTTGTTATTCAAAATCTTTATCTTAAAAGCTAGACATATTACACACTAAATCGTTGATTCTTTTGTATATAAATAATGAT